CTTAATTGGGGACTGGCTGTAGCTCATCTGTAAGAGAGTTGGAATCTTTAAATGATATCATTTGCTTGGTTATATCGAACAAATGGTGGTTGTGGGTTTGCATCTGGGTTGGAGTATGAAAGTTTGTTGACTTTATTCATGTTGACCCAGCTGTAAATGGGAACAGATAATCTGGGAAAGATCAATACCAAGAGGTTTGATCAAGGACCAGCTGGGTAGACAGGATCCTCATTATTCCAGTCAACCCAGCTGTAAATGGGTAAAGATAAACTGGGAAAGATCAATGCCAAGAGGTTTGACCAAGGATCAACTGGTAGAAAGAATCCTCATTATTTCATAAAATGTCACTTAGTTTTATTAGAATTGCAGGAATCACAGACGTCTGATTGAAAATTGGAATGGTGTAAATTGATGCTATCAGTGTCCCTGATACACAAAAAATTTAGAAAACCGCTTTGGCACGACTTCTCTTGGTCAACTATTTTATTATCTGCAATACAGACCCTCATCATCCAATCAGATTCGTTTTTCTTTCAATTGCACGCTATGCAAAACAACCAACTGGAAATTTTTTTCCTCCTCGGGTGCCTGCAAGACTTAAGTCCATGACAAAAATCAATGACCAAGACTGTTGGTGTGCCCGCATCTTTAATGGCTTCCATATTTCAGATTTGTTTCAAAGAGCCATCATGTTGAGTGGATCAGATCTAAGTGAATGGTCAACTGTGAAGAAGGTTGACTCGATCAAATATGCCAAGGCTCTTGCTTACGAGATTGGGTGTCCGGTTGATGACATGGAGAGACTGGTGGATTGTCTTCGCTACTACAGAACTTATAATGAAATTGTCAATGCTTCCATGAGAGTGAGCTTATTGGTGAGTACGATCCAAGATCCTGTTGATTCTACTGGTCAAAGACACCAGGGCTGTCTCTTGGGCTGTATTTGCCATTTTGTCAAAATAGCTCTAACGTGGATAATTCTAGACACACGTGGATTTGAACGCTAAAATTTCGACGGTGAGCTGTGAACACTATTACTGATTAGCTCAGCTAAAAAATTCCCGTTTCTGAGACTACAGTACAATTGGTCAAAAAATGGCGAACATGTGCCGGCTTATTATCATACCGATTTCTCCTTCTTTTGTAGAGAGGTTCAGTGGGTAATCCATGGGGGCCGGTAGTAGATGGTAATATTGTGGGTGTGGACTATGCCTTCCTTCCAGATCATCCTGCTGATATCAGGCTTCAAGGTCGTCATAAGCACATCAAGGTCATCTGTGGAATCGTGGAGCATGAAGGTTCCTTCTTTATTCGTAAGTCTTATTTTGATCATTGTTTTTGCTTCTGGTCATGAGTTATATGTTCAGCAGTGGCTGAACCAGTAGGTGTCCAGGGGTGCATCGATTCCCCCAGGAAAATATATTGCATCCCCAATTGTGCCCCCAAAATATGAGTCAGAATGCACCAAACCATTTCAATTTTTCTTAATTTCGTATGGGCTAAACCTTATTGTCTCCCTATTATTCTTTTGGTCCTGTCAGTGATACAAGTCAGACGGGCTGACATGGAAAAAGTGTCTAGTCATTCAGATTGGACAATAAACCAAGGCCCCGTGTGCTACAGGCTATGCATGTTAAAGATCCCTTGACAGTTGGAAATCGAAAAAGAGCAGGCTAATGCCGCTGCCCTGGTAAACTTGAACTCATTGTACACTGCATGGCTTCATTAGCCCATAAGGTGCAGAAG